ATGAAAGTGTGGAGATATGATGAAAGATGAATAGAGATTACAAGGATCATAGAAACAAAATAACACATAGAATTAGAAAAATAGTTGCGTGATGTGTAGTTTTTTTTTAACGAAGTCAGGTGTGAACGAGATATGCCTAGAAACAAATTGAAATAATAGTTTTTATTGCTAACGATAAGGAGATTTGTGGGGAATGGTGATAAACAACAATTGAAGAGCTAAACATAACTAGATCAATGATAAAATGTAGAGGTTGGAGTGGTGTCTTTTGAATACATGACTCTGGATTCTCTATGCAGGTATGGCGAGGGTTTCTGCGATACAAATATGTCGGGAATACATTTGCTTTGGTAGATTTCTTTTCATTTTGTAAACGAATCTGAATGATGAATCATTTGAGATGTGACAGGTGTTGATAATAGGTGTTCGATTATAGCACTTTTGATTGAACCTGGGTAGTGTTCTCTAACACGTTTTGTTTTTAAAGGACACGTATAGAGCGATCTGCTTACTTAGGTCGACAAGAGCAAATGTGTTGACATGTACACATTAAAGTGATCATAGACGGAAATTTATTTTTTTGAAATTGCATCAGATCCCGTGGCATATATGTTCCTACCTTTAAGCTTTCTTATCAAGTGGAAATGATCTCCTTTAATTTCCCTTCGTTACTGTTGTTGAACTTAACAATAATTGTAACTATGTGAACTTATGTGTGAAAATGCGATTGTACAGCTTTTGAGGATAAAATCGTCGAAAAGGTATCTTTTCTGAGCTAATTGAGCGTTTGAATAAGCTACGATATCCTCTCAAAGTATTTTCTGTTAAACATGAGCGTTACTCGAAAGTAGCTTGTCGTAATCGGCATAAGTTTTTCAGGTTGATTCGTCCCAGTGTTTGTGCAATCTACTGCACACGTATGTACTCATTGAAGTGCTATACGGTGTGTGGTGAAATTTGAGATTATGATATGGTATTTATTTCTGTCTGTCTGGATTCAACATAGAACTTGGCACCGAAGTGCAGCAGTTCGAGTTGCCACGTTCCAAATAGCACACAGAGGTAGACAAGAAGATGAGTGAAGAGAATCAATAGAGTTTGACAAGTATAAGAGTGAAACAGAATGGGTAATGGTAGAAAGGAATATGAAAGATTACAGAGACTGAATACATCTGCCGCCATTGACAACGATTTTGAGCCATGTCACCTATTGTCTCCAGCCATTGATTCCTAGAGTCCCGAGGGCCCCAACCCGGGAGTCTGCATCTCCCTACCTGACTCAGTTTAACTGTCAAGGATTTCATGGATTGATGCCATGTTTTTGTTTGGCCACCACTGGCTCTTTTCCAACCTGAACCTATATCAGCTAGCAATGCCCGTCGGGGGAGGCGGTGGTTAGGCATGCGCAGCACGTGACCTAGCCATCTTAGTCTATGTAACTTTATAGCCTCGTCGATTGATTTTCCCTCTTTGCCCAACACTCTACGCCTAACGTCAACATTACTTATCTTGTGAAACCACCTAACGTGAGACAGAGATCGCAGACATCTATGATCGAAAGCAGTCAACCTTTTCATGTCTTCAACGCGTATTGGCCATGTTTCAGAGCCATAGAGAAGGACGGAGCGAACTGATGAGCAGTACACACGTCCCTTGGTTGATAACCGGATGTCACGCCTACGCCAGAGATGGTGTAAGTCAGCGAAAGCAGCTCGAGCTTTTCGGATCCGTGCTGAGATTTCATCGCCAATCAGTCCGTTGGTGCTAATACAACTTCCCAAGTAGGTGAAGTGGTCAACATGTTCTATCACTTCACTCCCTATCACTAAGTTAGGGGTTGACGTGGTCCAGTCCTGTAGCAGCATCTTACATTTTGCAGGGGCGAATCGCATGCCAAACATACGAAGATTGCTGCTCAAGGTGTTCAGAAGACTCTGCATTTTGTCAGCATCCTCCCCTAACAGGACTATGTCATCTGCATATTCTAAGTCCATTAGATTATTCCCTGGTAACAAGTCGATTCCTAAGTCACTACGTTCAGTTAAGGATACTTCCATTAGCATATCTATGATGAAGTTAAACAGAAATGGGGAAAGTGGACATCCCTGTCGGACACCACTGGTTGTTACCAATTCAGATGACAATTCCCCATAAGCCCTTACACGACTACGTGAGTTTGAATAGAGTGCCTTGATTAGTGCAATGTACTTTCTTGGCACTCCCTTCACAGTCAGACATTGCCATAGTACCTTTCGATCCACGGAGTCGAAGGCCGCCTTCAAGTCAAGAAATATGACAATTGTTGGACGCCGAAAAGTGTGTCTATGTTCTAGAATCTGTCGAAGAGTGAAGATATGATCTATGCACCCTCTACCTGGTCTAAAGCCTGCTTGATTTTCCCTTGTCTGTTCCTCCCGAGTTCTGCTTAGTCTATGCATGATTACTGAGCCTAGGATTTTAGAGACTATGTTCGTTAGGCTGATCCCCCTATGATTATCACACGAGGACTTGTTTCCCTTCTTGAATATCGGTATAATAAGTGACTTACCCCAGTCTGATGGTACTGTCTCTGATTCCCAGACTTTGCCTAGTACCTCAGTTAATCTACAAACTAGTATGTCACCCCCATATTTAAACACCTCCGGAATAATTCCGTCGGGTCCTGCCGCTTTGCCTCGTTTCAAATTACTGATAGCTTTTGTAACCTCACCTACAGACGGCGGACCAGTGTCTATATCCCATTCGGGTACGTGGTGGATGGCGGGGAGGTTCAGTGTGGCTGTAGGCAAGTTAAATTGTTCCTCAAAGTGTTCTTTCCAGCGTTCAAGGCGTCTATCCTGAGAGCTAATTAAGGAGCCATTTTTCTCAGAAATAGTCTCACTTATGAATTGCCTTCTCCCCGATTCTGTGATGAGTCTAAAGAGTTGCCTAGTGTTGCCTATCGCCGATGCTTTTTCCATCTCTTTCGCCTTTGTCACCCACCACTGTTCACGGTCCTTGCGGAGACTTTTAGTAAGTTTCCTTTTGTGCAGCTTTCGCTCCTCATTGAATTCGGAGCTCGCCGGAATAAGTCTTCTAGCATCTATCAGTTCGGATGAGGCAGTCGAAATCCAGTGGTTTTTACTCACCTTTGGATTTGCCTTATTCACAGCTTTTACAGCTGTATCTATAGCTGACTGAATATTCTTCCAGGCTTCTCCAGGGTGAGCACAGCTGTCGAATTCAGATATGCGTTTAGCTAGTTCTTCCTCAAATAGGGATTTAGTTTCCTGATCGAGCTGGGGACGTGATGGTTTTACCGCCAGCTGTTTCCTACGTCCGTTCAGTCGTAAGCACACACGAGCCCGGACCAGTGCGTGATCGGTATCTACACACGTGTTCCAGAAGGAGCGACAATCTCCTACCGACCCACGCCAACGATAGCTTATTGCTATGTGGTCTATTTGTGTCCAGCGTTGGTTTGATGATGGGGGTCGCCAGGTTAAACAGTGTCTCTCCTTGTGTTTAAAGTTAGTGCTTACAAGAAACAAATGATTATCTGAACAGAACTGTAGGAGACGGTCACCGTTGTCGGTTCGCTGGCACGGAACTCCATAGGTGCCACCGACATCCTTCTCAGATTGACACAATTTCCCTACTTGAGCGTTAAAGTCACCAGCTAGAACGACTATATCTGAGCGTTTAGCCTTTCTCACCAAACTAGACAGCTTTTGGTAGAACTCATCCTTCGTTTCATCCGAACTGCAGTCAGTGGGGGCGTAGGCGGAGATTACAAAAAGGCATCGGATATTTAGACGAATTATGCTGTTTTTATCTGTGCAAAATTGCATTATTGACAGTCACTTGTGAGGGTGTATAAGGGACGGTTGCATCTATTGAAGTCACAAAATTCGTAAGTGTATTTTGAAATGAATTTCCATCACGGGGGAGATAGTGGAAAATGGAAGATGAATGAAGTGAAGTTAACTAGTTGAAATCTACATTATTTTGGAATTCACTGGTGGTCACATCCTCACTGCAGTTGATTATCAACTTTATGAACACAATTCTTTGTCTATCCTCCTCAACCAGAAGTCTGATGAATCAGTCAGTTGATGACTAATTATTTTAAAGTTGAGATTAAATTGGTTTGATTTTATTTCTCAGGTATAAAAATAACGTGAATAAACAGGAAGTTTGGATAAGAAAGGCGATGGGATGGTCATTACCAAAAAGAAATTACCTGTTTATGATGGCCATGGCAGGGACAGGGGTTGAATGTATTTCTTTTGGATACAAAGCATGGGTTTGAGCTTTTGGATAGCTAGTGCCTCAGCTATGCCCAGATGTCTTAATTTCACTCCCTTTGATAGGTTTGATTGAATCTTGTATATTACTTTGAAGGATTTTTCGAATGGCGTTGAATGTCCTGAATTGACTAGATATTCTGTCACTGAACTGTATACACGTTTTTGGTCTCCTTTTACTATCCAGGCTGGGTAGTTTTCACGAGCTCATTTTTCAAGTCGGCGGATGGTACGGCAAATGTACTGAGTTCCACAAGAGCAAGTAAACTGGTATATGCACGTTGAAGTGGCCCAATGCGATAGCTTGTCTTTCGCGTTCTGGCTGAACAGTTTCTTGCAGGAAAACGTCAGTCGTAGGCTCGCGGCGAAGTATGTTTTCCTCAGCGATTGTGAGAGGTGTTAACGAAGGATTTCTGCTTCAGTATCACCTTCTCAGATATATATATATTTATAGTTATTGTGGGGCACTTGTCAAGACTGGTTTATTGTTAGCAATGTGGATTAACCTCTGTTGTTATATGTCCAGTCTTGAATGCTGTCTGGATTCTATAAATCTACTTTGCAATGTGGTCGTTAACAAGACTTCTGTCAGTTGCTTCCAACCTCCTAACAACAAGTCGTAAAAGTTTTAAATGTCTTGAAGGAATTTGACTGCTGAATCCGATTTGTTCATCATATAACGCTCCACTTTCATTCTTCTTTATTTCTCTCTAGCTGTCAAGTTGTATAGACGAGTGGAATGATCTGTCAAATGAAATCTCTAAACTTCGTGCCCAATGTCTGGATGCTGATGTAGAGACGCACTGGCATTTAGAAGCGTATCCTTTTTCTGAGAAAATATTTTTTGGAAATTTTGTTAGAACCAGAGTAGTTGGGTTGTGGTTAATTCTTTTCGTAGACTAGTTGGTTGATGTATTTGTAAATTGCATTGTTTTCATATATGTATATATTTACACTCATATAGGATAAATATTCATCAGAAGAATGTTTAATAAGTTTTGATAAGTCGGAAATTGGCCCTTGATTATCCGTGGTTGAGTCATGTGTTAAGAAACAAACTCCATCTCAGTTTCTGCATAGTACTGTTGTGTGTTCCACCTACATTTTCTCTGATGCATACTGTCTACTGCATACTTTATTTTGCGCTCAGACCATCTTCTGTTGATCTCTGTGTTGTTAGTATTGAGTTATGCCAAAAACAGATTTTTCATGTACAGGACTATGAGCTACACTTATTGTGCAGGCGTTGATGACACCATCCAGTAGTTGTCAATGGTGAATTGAATACGACTAGATTCGGACCTGAGACTGTAACTGAAAATCAGGTTCATGAAGTCAGTTAACCTCATCTGCCTATCTGGAATCATTTTATCAACTTTTTTAAAAATTTACATTCAAAGATGAATATTATTCACCTTAAATTACTCAAGACATATATATGTGTTTTTGGATTAATTGATTTATGGGGATTTTGACCAATAATTTAATTTCAACTGTTAGATTTTGTCACGAACCAACATCATTGCAATCAATCTCCAGCTCATTGATGGCTACTGGGTGGAATTTCTTAGAGCTGTCGTGACCAGTGGAGTCCACTGTGTCAAGGTGAAGTGGATACCGATCGAAGACATTAGTTGAGGGTGGCTCTCTATATCACGAACTGACGAAGATAACATTCACGGGTCACTGAATTTTGACCCGAGCGACTGAATGGGGATCGGGCCTGGTCTTATAACCTTAAGGTCCTGCGTTCAATTTTCTTTTGTAGTTGTGGGTGCGCAATGATGAGGAGTCCCAAAAGACAGGATGAAACAACTATCCAGTGCTCCCTGGCTTCAAATGATCTCTCTAATTGATGTTGGTTCGTGACGAAATCTAACAGCATATGAGTGTGCTTATTCTGCTGATCGCGGTAGATTTTAATGAGTAGTAATTGGAACCATCAACTTTTCTATTAATGGACAACCTGCGTGCATTCAATTCAAGTGTGAAGTTGTGTAGAACTCGCATTAGTGAATTCGTTGAGGTGTAGTCAATTATTCTAATAACTAGAGGGTGACACTCTTTCTTGTTGATATATGTATAATACATGTGAACCTATCACTTTCTATCGTTTTAACAGTATAGTAATCTGTCGCTATAAATCGTCAAGGAGTTAAAGTCATTGACAATTCTAAGGCCATTTTCTTTATTTTTTTCTATTTTATATGGTAACGTAAATTTTGCTGTGAGTTTCTGAAGTGGAACCGGTACGATTATTTCTAGATTTCATGTTAGCTCCTCTGTTCTTCATAATCTTTTCATTTATGTCTGACTGTTTGTTTCAGGCGGTCGATTTTCAACCATTCTTTGAGTCATTGGCTCGAGTTCAACTCCACCTACTTCAGCCTGGGTAACTCAATAATATTACCGGGTCTCAATCAGTTTGTGTCTGCCTCATAGCTTGGTGTGTGAGAAATCTGTCCGCCGTAGTTGCTTTACAATAGCAATAATTAGTCGTGCATAATCGATTAGTAGTGTGAGTCGGTGGTTCAGGAGTGGCATACCTCTTCTAGCCGCGTTCGATTCCCAGCAGACACACTCCTAAATGTCGCTTAACCGGTAATAATCCTACAGAAAAGGGAAGGTTGGGTGTAAGAATAGCACATACAGACACACCCCTTTACTCCTGAGACTTTAATGCCTCAAGTTTGGAACTCACCGGAGGTGAAACCACCAACTTTCATCAATTTTTCGCACTACAACAACAATATCATTGAAAGCTACTCATTTATCTCATATAACTAAATGAGGTATTTTCGTTAGAGCATTATTAGGAATCAAATTTACTCAACGCTTACTTCCTTAATTATTATTTTTATTGACAATAATAATAGAATAACACAAGTGGTGGAATTTTTCATCGAGATACTCAGCCTAATTAATGCGTCAAGTTATCCTTCAGGGTGAGTTATTTTCATTTGTCTGTTTATATGACATTTTGTCTGATAACGTGAAGTGGTCATTTTCTATAAATTTTGTTATACTTATTTTTATGTTCTTAGGTAGATGTCACTGATAGACATCATCTTGTGAGGTATTAGATGTTTCTCATCCTGTATGGGGACACTTCAGCAGTACCCATTCATGTTATCATAACTCATTTTAATTAAACTCATTGAAAATATTAGGAAACTCTTTCTGTGTGGTATCGCCTTCTCTAACCTGAAAGACATAATATCATAAAGCTTTCATTGTCTTTCTAGACGACATCGACAACATCATTCAATCTAGAAAAGAAAGGGGTTCTTACAATTTTTCAACATATGTTTTAATTGGGTGTGGGGTGATGATAATGAGGGTTTTGTGTGCTTTCGGGTGTGTGTGTGAGGTTTTCACTTCTTGGGGCACCTGAAACAGAAAGAGCATTAGTGTCGTGTAACTTGAGTCCCCATGGAACAACTTCTCGAAGCCGGTCACAGACGGACTTTTTGAATTGGTTTTTTGTGTTGCGTCTATATTAAGATCCTACCACCTCAAGGTTAATCGGGATGTACAATCTTCGGGGTCAGTCTTTTCTTACCTTCCCTCTCCGGAGAGGAGAGGAAGCATAGGTGACATACTGGTTATCTGGTGGGAAAACCTACTTGCTGTTACATCCCTATTCCCCAGAAGTACGACTTCGTTCACAGACATCCCAACGTCGTGTAAACAATTAACGCTGTGGCGGTAAGTGCTTTTAGTTAAACCTCTATCCAAGCAACTTTTCTGGCATAGTAAGACCTGCAGGAAAATTAGTTCCAAACAGTATAGCTTATTGGACCACTGGGGTATGCACTCTTGACCACCAAGTCCAAGTGACAACTGTCGGTCGGGATTCGCCTGCTACCATGGTGAAATATGTAACTAGTTATTTCACTGTCTGCAAACCTATTTACCAAACCGTTTTTGTAATCTTATCTATTAGATTGCAGCCACATGTTTCGTGATTCTTATAGGCTGATAAACTGAATCCATCATTATAATAGAGGTTAAAAGTGAACTTGATTTGGACATATATGAATCCATCATGCCTACACCTTCATTTCAAAGTGTTACGAAATAAAGTCTAGACAATTCTTTTTAACAAAACTGATTACTAAAATTGATAAATTTGAAAAGCTAATCAAAGCCTGTTTTAGAATGAGAACACTGACTGTGTAAGATTAAGTTAAGAATAATCTTAACTGCCACTCATAATACTAAGTCAAGCTGAGATAATCAACATCAAGTCGACATACACATTTGTATCTAAGGAATAAGTCTCCTACTGTTTCTACACCAGATCATATCGAAGTGTATGGTGTAATGAAATCCTAAATAAAGTAATAAGAAAATCATTTCTTTTCACATGTCATAGGAAGTTATAAGACTGAAACAGACAATGCACTGTACCATTACTATTTCTTCATTCTTTCCGTCCCCAGAGTGAAACACAGCGCTTCAGAGTAACGATGATAGTGTTTTCTTCACCAGATGAGATTGCTAGCCTCACGCCTAAGTTTCCTTCTTTTTAGGGAATTAATAATGGCTAGCAAACTAGGTGGGGTTTAGGAGTATTGTCTCAGTCGGGAATCAAATCCGGACTATCTGTGCAACTAGCTAACCTTCTGCTGTTGAGCCAGTGTTAAAGAAGAAGTAAAACCATGACGTGAATTGGACACATCAGATAGCATTGTTAACTATTGACTTCTGGTTTTTTCACTTTTTTTTCCCAATGAAACACTCCTAAGACCCTTTTGAGAGAGAGAGAGAGGCGGTGAAAGAGAACAAACTAAATTTCTTTTGCACAACGATTTTATATAAACTGTTCTATTAAGTAACACATTCTTCCCTCCTTTATTGTTAATCATTTGTTACAGTATAGTGTTCGAAGGAAATTTTTCTACAGTCATTAGAAAAATTTGATAGAAGGGTAACATTCTGTGTTAAATAGTAAGTAATGTGATATCCTACTCGTTGCGTAATAGCCTGGTAGATGACTGTTTGGTGTTTAAACAATGAGTGCCTTGTCGTAGTGGGAACACCAATGCTCCCTAGGATGCAACTGCATTCAATTGGAACATCCCTAATATATAGGAATACATGTTCTGGATTCTGCTGAGAGTTATCATCAAAGAGCTTTAAGAATAACATTTACTGAAGATATATACCCTTTACCCTTCAAATCCTTTAATAAGTTTGTTATTTTTCTCTTTACTTTCTCCGTATGATCTTTCATTGCTTTCGGCGTCTGAAACTTGCTGCCGTCAGCTAGTATGGAGTTCATCTTGTTGATGTAGTCCTGCCTATCCATAGTTACAATCCCTGGTCCTTATCCGGTCTGGTAATAACTATGTTTTCATTTCGTTTTAGTCTTAACAGCTTCTCGATGCTCTTTTGTGAGTATACTATGGGGCTTATTCTTATCCTTCTGTCTATACTGATAGCAACAGTCTACCAGGGTTGATTTGAATCTATCTAGGTCCTCATCAGAGGAGACGACCAAGTCCCCTGTTTGTATATAGAAGTTGTCGAATTGTACATCGGTGTCAATCTGACTAATCTGTCTGTACGAAAGTCGCAAAATTTAGGTCCTAGAGATAACGCTTCAAGTTGTAGTTTGTCAAGAATCACGCTAGAAAAGTTGTGGACGTACCTTTCTGGATAAGCAAGAAATCTACATTCGGGAGTTCGGCTTTCTAAGCCTTTCATCAGTTGTGTTCGTTTTTTCGAGGAAAATATAGTTATTACCAGACTGGATAAGGAACCGGGGATTGTAATTATGGATAGGCAGGACTACATCAACAAGGTGAACTCCATACTAGCTGACGGGAGCAAGTTTCAGAAGCCGAAAGCAATGAAAGATCATACGGAGAAAGTAGAGAGAAAAATGACAAACTTATTAAAGGATTTGAAGGGTAAAGGGTTATATATCACCAAAAACTTTCGAAAACATAAAACCCACAGGGAGCACCATCTCACACATTTATTGAAAAACCATAGTATGGAATTTATACTGGAGAGATAAAAACGACATATCTCAAGAGATCTGAAGTGTTTTGTTGGCTGGGTCCGTCGTGAGTGTTTCTCCTGTAGTCTTGTATATATATATATATATATATCCTATGTAAACTAAGCTACAGGTGTTGTCTTTGTTTGTTTGATACTCATGAAGAAAATATATTTTAAAAGAAATGAAGTAGTGAGTAGTATAACCAGCCTCATTCCCTCCAGTATCTGTATGTGGTGTGAACCTGTTTTAGTCATCGGGAACCATAGGAACGTAGCTCCTGCTACTGCTACATTACCTTATGGATTTGACTTCAGGTCAAAGGCTCGATGGCTGGCCCTCTGAGGATAACCACCTGCTTCAGTCTGGAAGTCCGGTCAGTATGCTAGTCTTCACACAAACCATGAGATTTTTCATGGCGCATCTCTTGGCGCTTATAATGAACCAATTCGACTTTTTAATAATACTATAATGCCAACCATTACACAGTAGGTGTGTCTCGCCTTATTGTACTCCTTTGCCTTCTGAGTGGGACATAAGGCCTTCATGCTGGTGTCTTGAAGTTTCAGTAGCGGCGGGATTGTTAGCTTCATGCCCAACCCTCTCTCTTTACTGAATGTAACCTCGACTCCGTACGTAGTTGGATAGCATTCTGCAATCGAACCACCGGTACATTTACAAATGCATATAAACGTGAATAGTTGTTGATTAACGCTTTGTTTCATCCCATCACGATTAGTTTAGTTGAAATTTTACGGGGATATCACTGTCTATATTGTCATCCTTCAATATTGAACCTCTTTTTTGTCAAGATAAACTCTGTGAAATCTCACAAGGGGGAGAAATCGTTACATACCTTAACCAACTATATCACAATCAATTTAGTCGATTTAATTACTCTCTTATTGCTTTTCTGTTCATTTTAGATTCTCTAGTATAGAAGAATATTTATCCTCTGGATTAGAGACAAACTCAAGTCATACGTATACATCAGATCCATATGGTAAAATTGTCTCTATCCTAAGGACATCAATGCGACAATATTTTCCCATTGATAATACACCAGTTATACGTGAATGGATACCAGTATTAATTTTCAAAGTTGTTCAAGTTGCTTCTCATTGGCCAAGATTCTTTTTTCAACGTTTACAGACAACAACTGTACGACTTGTACTTCTGCCAAAAGCTGGAAGTAATCCAGACGATGTATTGACTATCAGTAATGATGTCTGTCATATGATTCAAGTAATGGGTGTTGTACAACAACGTAGTCGATTAGATAAGAAAGCTTTGCTACGTCGTATAGAAGCTGTGGAAATAGCTGTGAATGTCAATGAAATTTGTCCAGAAAGCATAAGAAATGGTCAATACACTAAACTCGATTTGATATATTCAACACAAAAAGCTACTCAACTGAAAGGGGATTATTTTCATAGTGAATTTTGTATACGATTTCCTCAGTCTACTCAAGTGATGATGCATAGTAACAGTGGAGGGATATTGCGTCAGAGTGACAGAATCTTTTGTATACATGCTCATCCTATTATAATCGATAGTTTAGGCTCACATTGGGATTTAAGTGCTAACGCTGGTGCTACAGATGAAAGTGTACTTGTTCGAGTTGAATCATTACCATTGGCAACTACACAGCCTATGCAAGCAGCATTGCATCTGTCTACGACTCAAAGTCAGTCAGATTCCCAAGATCCTAGTGAAGTTTGCCAGTCAATTAATTCTGGTCCTACGACCTCATCAACATCAGCAGCAGTGGCTCCATCAACAGCAACGACAAATACGTCGTCGTCGCATAGTATCAATCAGAAATCAGATCTAACCAAATCGAAAATCGCTTCACGAACACCTGATGGTTGGAAAAGTCAAACAAAGAATCGGCCGAAGAAGACTGGAAGCGTAAAATTTTCACCTTACAACTTAAAGTGATCATTTGCTTCTATGAAGCTGAAGATTTCTTCCTATTGTGTAAATACGTTTCTTTTTTCTTGTGATAACTGTAAAATAAAATTTCGAAGAAGTTGGAATGAGTTTTAAATTTGACTGTTTACAGTGTTATTGTTACATAATAAGATGCACCAGACAACGGGAAGCCTTACTACTTGCTTTAAGTTTTGCGCTCTTCGGTATTCCTCAGTAGGGCGTATACATTGTTGTTAGATAGTTGAAGGCAGGAAGCCTCAAACTCTGGTCTCGCGCCTATTGGGATTTGTCAGAAAGGCGTATCTGATAACTTCAAAGAACGCATGTGCCTTCTGAAATCTTAATCTGGGTCACCTAGTACTTCAGTCAGATATATTACCACTAACCTGTTCGTGCTCACGATTTACCTCCTATAGGACTATAATTGATACTTTGGTTAGACAATTGGTAATAACAAATGTCAGGCGTCTGGTCCTTCGTTTAGTGCAGACTGAATTCTATTAGTCAAGTTGTGTCCATGCTGCTGGGCCGATCGCCATAATGGTGCACTCCGAGTTGATGTAAGATGTTTGAAGGCAATCACCAGGAATTGCTACTAGGTTACGAATACGTCTTGCTGACGAGTGCCAACCAACAAGTACGAAACCTAGGGGTAAGACTTCTCGAGGATTGCCTCCAACCACCTATCAACAGTTCAGATTGCACCGTCATGGCAAGCAACCTAGTGTTTTAGCCACATCACACCACAGACTGATATAATTCAATCTGCAGCAAACGAACGACTAGATGCATAACAGTTTCTTGTCCGATCAAAGATGACGAATGTAGGTTAAACAGTTACTGAAGGTATTCCGCCCAGCTGCATACTTCGTGTCGTCTCTAATGAATCCATAATATGTTTCCAAATATTTCAGTCCTTTAGGTAGATGTATACTGAAAATAGGAGGTATATCTAGCAGTAACCAGCCCTTGAACACCAAGAGCAAGCATTTAATTGGATGAATTATGATCTGAACACAGTTTCACTTTCAAGTGCACCTGGGTGACCAGTCACTTAGTCACATCTTAAGATCCGATAAGTGTTAAGGCTGCCTATTTATTTTTTCATTTTCCCTAATGCCTACGCATTCTGGCTGCTCAGCGTTATTTCACACATTTCCTGGGACATAATTCAACCATTTTAAGCAAAAAATGCTATAAATTAATGCCATGTGTCTAGTTCTTCGAAGAAACTTACCTTGTCTCCTAGGTCCTGATCCGCATCATTCAGTTCTGATATTAGGTTTGGTTACAGGATTTCATTATCGGCTGACATCGGTTAGAGAAACCTGAAAGTACTGGACAACTTTTTCGTCCTAGTTTTGGACTCTTCATCAGTACGGACCCACCATAAGTGTATAAATCCAGGATCTTCTGGTTACAAAGCAAGCTCGTAGAACATTAAGCCAATGGGACCCCACCCAATGGCCCATCAATTCCAACTTCGTGACCACCAGGGTGCATCAGGTTGGGTGCGAGGACAAATACTTGCCGAGGATATTGTCTAGCAGTCTCTCTATGTCGTGAATTGGCAAAAGTTGGAATTCGTGGACCATTGGATCGGTTCCCAGTGGCTTAATGGTCTATGAGCTCGCCTTGTGACTAGAAGGTTCTGTGTTCGAACCCTGGAGGATGCGTAGTGATGGAAAGTCCCAAACTAGGATGAAACAGCTGTCTAGTACTCCCTGGCAGGTTTCCCAAAGGTTCTCTAACCGATGTCAACTCATGATGAATTCCTGTAACGAACCAACCGAATCCCTACAAACCAATACTTGAATATCTGATATTAGATATTTCACTTACAAGCTACTCACATTGTTACTTATCCCCCATAGAATTAGGTCGTATACATGTGAATTCATCTTCGGATTGTAGTTTTCTTTTCCTAGAGGTGTTGATCGAAACAAAGTAGTACTTTATGTTATGTCAGCACTCGGTTGGATTACACAACAGTGAAGTTCGCTTTTATTGTGGTGCATAATTTCATTGACGCTTGCATCCTACTTTCGATGTTGACTGATGCCTAAACACAGTAGGTGAGAGCTTGTGTATCTCAATGACCTAACGAGCCATGCTGGCTGAAATGAATATTTCTGAAAATCCTACCATGCCTGAAAGATCGTTTTGTATAGATGGTAGGCTAGAAAGTTACAACCATAGGATAAGAAGTTTAGACTATGTTTGAGGTCTGAAAACGAAGTTTTACTCTTGGTGAATAGGGGTGTAACAACAGTCAGATGTTTCCCTTGGACGATCAGCTCGACAGCTATTTGCCTCCCTGCTCGGAGGAGAAGTGATTAGTAAAGGTCAGTGTCAAAAATGGCACATCCATTCTCACTATACAACGATCTGTAGCCAACTGTACGAGCACGAAAAGGTCGTGTGTGACAGGTCTCAATCAGTTGTTCCGTAGGATCTCGAGTCACAGAACACTTCAGGAATGTAATCAAATTTAATATTGTCAGCAGTCGGCAACTGACTATTGAGTAGCCTATGTATGATGTCCTTTATTCATCTCGCTAAGTTAATCAATTAAGCTCTGTATACGATACAACTTCCGCTTGAATGTAAAAGTTCAAAAGGTAGTAGTAATCTCAAATGTGGCTTGTTATCGTCATTTCTGTAGGTATTGAAGGTGAGAATGCAAATGGTTGTGAAACTGTCGAAATGAATAAAACCACACCTGTTTTAAAAATCAACTACATTTCGCCTCTATTGGGTTTAAGTCCAGTGCCTTCGTACTAGAGGCCGAACATTATGGCCCATTCTGTCAGCGCGAGAATCCAAATTGACGTAAAACAAATATCAACTTATGCCGGTTGTACACACAACAGCCGAATTCTGTGGCCCAAATGGACAACGCTTTGGCGTTTGAAATGAAGGATACTAGGTTCGAGTCTCAGTAGGGACACCGCTACTCACTGGGGGTTGCGGATACACCTGGATGATAAGTCCCGATTGGGAAGACAAACGTAGTCTGGATTCCACTGCTGGGCGCCATCCATCAGCCAGGCTGAACCTGATAATATCTCTGACAATTAGAATCCGAAGAATCTCCAACCATGAAGAAATCACTCTTCTGAGGACGACACTACTTGAGAATGGTTATCCACCACGCTTTATAAGTAATCAAATTAAGCCCAAAACAAACAAAGAACAACTCATCTCTTTGCCGAAGAAGATGCTATACATGAGTGTGGCGTTCAAAGGCGACATTTGGCCGACATCTTATAGAAGAGAATATCTAGCACCCTGAAAAGAACATTCTCTGCTGCTACATCGCGACTGGTATTCTCACGCCGCCAACTATTCTTCAACAACTCCGAAGATAAAATATCGCATTTGACCACTTCTATGTGCATTTACCAATTCACATGCTCCTGTGGAGCGATATATATATATATATATATATATATATATATATATATATATATATATATATAGACCGTTTGATGCGTATTTTATCTAAAAGGTAACAGTGGATCAATAAGGAGTGGTATAATTGACCATAAATTCAACACCGGTCACTTAATATACAGGATGAATTCATTCAAAGTCAAAAGAAGCCTCCCAAAAACGATAGGCTTCAGTATACTATGCATTACTGAGGCCTTAGCCGTTCGGATGGAAAGCCTTGATTAATGCTCACAGGAGAACCTTCTCTATCCTCCCTTCTTACTTTGGGTATAATTCCAAGTTCATCTATTTTGTCATCAGACAGTAGTCTAACATCATGCTCTCTAGTTTGTGTAAAATCCTATCTGGTCGGGTGTGAGGACAAATACTCGCCGAAGACATTGGCTAGGGGTCGTGCTATGTCGTGAATTGACAGAGGTTAGAATTCATTTGCTGACCACTGGACCAGGTGCCAGTGGATGAGTGCTCGTCTACGCGCTCGCCTTGTAACCAGAAGGTCCTGGATTCGAATCCCGGTGGGTGCGTACTGCAGAAGAGTCCCAAACTAGGGCTATGGAAACAGCTGACCAGTACTCCCTGCATGTTTTCCAATGGTTCTCTAACTAGTGTCAGCTCATGATGAAATCCTGTAACCAAAAAGACAGGACTGTTTACTAAGCTTGTTGGTCATCAATGAGTTATTGGTGTGTGACTTTCTTGACAAACACTAGTGTTAGCTAAAAAAGTACAGAAAACATCCGGTAATTGTTTTGTATTTGGGTGGTACGTCTGAGTGATGTAATAAAACTGGATATTGTATCTAGGTAGATGTGGAAAGCTCCGAGAATAAAATATAAAGATCACAGAGCAACAAAATAAATTCTTTAGTTTCATAATTTCTTTGTATTTAATCTTTAGCTAATCGTCTTCATTAGGATCGAATCCTCTGAGGTAAGGCACTTATTTCGTTGTAAGCTTTGGGCATTAATGGAAAATTAATGATCAGGTTTAAGCAATATATCAACTACAGTCATTACACTAATGTGGCCACGTATATATAGATGTCAAAGCGAAGATCGGAAAGTCAAGACAGGTCTCCATCAATCTGAAATCAGAGTGGAAATCTGTTGCACTCAGCATAAAGAACAAGACGTTTAATAATAATGTCAAGTAACTTCTTCTATATGGTCCACACACTTATCGTGTATGCGTCACCGAAAGTCTGCTGCAGACTGTTGTCAACAGCTGCCTTCGATGTTTCGATATTGAAAATCAGTCAAAAGGGATTAGCAACAAAGAACTCTGGCGCCGAACCGATTGGAGGCCTATTGCTCCGTAATTATTAAGAAGAAAATAGAGATGTGTACCAGCTCGTTTTTTATTATTTCGGCGATCCTTCTCAACTGGCTACAACATGAACAGTGCAAATTATAAATTACACCGAGGATTTAGGAAATTTGAAATTCAAATAAATCACCCTCCAGGTCTCTTGAAATGCTTCTTCCCTATAAGTTACATAAAGGAATTGATGAGAACACTGTTTGATCGCATAAGAAAGCTATGCTAGGAAG